GTTGCCAGAGCGCTCGCTTTTATTTGCGGTTAGTAGAACGACGTGCGCACGCTTTTGGTTTCTATCTTCTGTTTTCGGGAGAGAAAATTGTTACGTACAAACGATCCTTATGGGATAGTCGAGTGGATTTTGGGATCGTCTCTTATGATGATAGATAACTCAATCTACGGGCTCTAAACATCCTAGAAAAATCTCGAAATTACGCTAGTGAAGCTATTAAAAATGTAATAAACGATCGTGACGCGCCCCTCTTTTTGCGACTTAGAGCAGACACCGGGGGTCGCCGTCAGACGGCGTTGTCAAACAACAATAATTAGAGTGACCTTAAAAGTAATCGCTGTATTGCGTATGCACCCAGAGATTTGACGTGTTTTTTGTCAAAATATAATGCACAACCAGCCTAAAAGGAGCAATAATAGTAACGGTCCGAATTTGCACGCCAATTAACTATTTTCCTTTCTCAAATTTTAAGATAACCCCCCCCCCCCCCCCTCCTCTCAGGCATCTACCGGCGTTTACACTAACGCGTTGATCCCACTTTGGACGTTCCGCAAAAATCTTTTCTTTTTTTTTTTATTTTTTTTAACGCATTGCGCTTGGATTTGCTACAGAGGTGCCCGAAAGTGGTACATTCATTAATTGAGAGTATGAATACACGAACCCTCTGGAGTAAAAAAACAAATAAAAACTTCTTTTTTTTTTTTCTTCTCAAAATCATAAAGAAATTGTTTAGTGCTATTCTGGCATTTATTACGACTGAAGAATCGGTGAAATGGAGAGGAAATACAATTGGCTCACCCATTCTTCACTTCAGTTGGTTCAAAAAAGTGCCACAGTGACACAAAATATTATTTAGGTGTCATATGCGAGGTACGGGGAAACAGTTTTTTTTTATTTTTTCTTTTTTTTTTTTTTGTGATTTATTTGGTTGAGGCAATTTTTCCAGAATTTTAGTGAAAGCTTCCACCACCTTTGGGCACCTCCATAGTAAATCCTAGCGCGTTACGTTAAATAAGAACTCGAGTTATGCGTACCGTTCAAAGTGGGATCGGCGCGTTAGTGTATACGCTGTAGAACTGGTCATTTTTATTGACTGAAGCCCAAGAGCAACTATATTCCGTCGAAAATGAGCTTCTGAAAAGAAAAGCACTTGACTGCCCCTTTAAAAGTGATCTGGAGCTTGTTACGTTGCTTCTGTGCGCGTACAAGAATTAATTTTTCAATATCGAGCATCGTGTAATCACACTCCCGCACGGTACAGATTCAAGATTCCAGGTTAGCCGTCGAATACCAGATTGGCTGAATTTCCCAGCTGCAGTAAAGATTTGATTCGAAGGCAAAGTTCCAGCTGTCTTAAATTTCCACCCACACGTTTGGTTGATTTTAGGCGAAAACTTTCCGTCGACTGTCGTGTGTGTCGGCCTGACGTTTGTCACTTCGTTCGCGCGACGTCACTCTTCGGCGTCTTTTGGGATTCGATGTTGCACGGACGCAACTGTCGAATCGTGTACATAGAGCACTATATAGCTCCTACGGAGCAGAGTAACGCAATCCTTTGAACCCCGTGTTTTGCCGACAACATGGCCGACAGAGCGGCTCGGCGCGAGTCACGTGGTACTCAGGGTTCCAGGAGGCGGCCCGCCCTATGGGAGAATACATGGAGATCGACACAACACGGCTGATTAAAAAATGAACGGCGAGTTCACACTTTTCAAAACTAATCTGTCGTGAAGTTAGTAAAGCACTAAACACTTTATCAAAGTTTTAACAATATCGGATGCGTGTGCAAATTTTGAGAAGGCAATTTCCAAGGCAATGGCGTTTGAAGCAGACGATTTTTGCTCGCAGCGGAGATGGGCTTTTCGGGTTGGCCGGAGCGGGTCACGTGAATGGTGTGACGTCGCCGTGTCGTCTGCTGCATGATGCCGCTCAGGCAATTTTTAAAAAAAAGTCAGGTCCTTGCGGGGCACAAAACTTAGCGCAAATTATTCTAAAATGTTCCATTATTATGTAAAAAATGATTGCGATTCCGTACATTCCCACAATACTGGAGAAACAACGATTTTCTCACGTTCTCCATGCATTTCTGACCGCAGTTGGAACCTCCGGGTGTTCGCCGCTAGTCGCCGAGAGGCGGCGTTCTAGATTGCGCTACTCTGCTCCGAAGGAGCTATATAGTGCTCTACGTGTACACATCGGCGGGGGTGGACGTCTCTATCAACATTCGAAATTTCCGGCGATCGTCCTGCAACGAACAAACTGTAATACATCTGCAAACACCAGTTAATGATACAAAATTATTTTAACGATATTGAAAGTAAAATTCGCGTGACTAACTTTTTTAATTGACGACTACGAAACTTTAACTTCCCTGTTGCAGTGCTCCTCAAAATCGTCTAATCAAAACAAACAAAAAAAGAAAAGTTTTGCGCATTATTTAAGCGTTGCTCGTTCTTACAACATTTGGTTGTTAAAGGAAGAAACGATACCTTCGGATTTTGAAATGTTTACGGCTTGAGAAAATAACATAAAGCTAACCCAAAATGCATACAACTTAATTCTACACTAAGTTCGTCTAAACAAAAACAAACAAAAAAAATTGAAGAGGAAATTGGTAACGTTTAGCGTGGAGCCGTACTTTTGTTTTTACTACGGTGCTAGAGGTAAATACGAATAAAACGCGGCATTTTTTTCTTAGCCTTTACAGTTTCGCAAATGTGGGAATCGTTATTCTTATCGCCTGGGCGAAGTGTAGATCTTTTGACCAGTGTCCGAAGGAACCTCCGCCCACGCCCTCTCGTTTGCGTTTCCACCCGCCGTCTGTTCTGACGTGCGATTGTGTCATCTGGTTTCCACTGCCTTACGAACGCATGTGCGAGCGCGCTGCTTTGTTCTCTGCTCTTCCTTTACGTAAGATGACTCCGCGTTCTCCGATCCGTGGCCGGCGGCGCGCTCTCGTGTCCGTTAGACTGAGGGGGGTCTCGGGGGGTGGGTGCCGACCGGACGTGGCGGCATTTCCGGAAGGTGTGACGTCGGACGGCTTTTCGAGAGGGGGTTAGCCCCGCGCGCATGCCGTCCCGGTGCCGATGACCCCGGCCGCCACCGCCTGATCAAAAAAGCGGACTGGGCCAAGCGTCGCCGACGACGGCGCGGCCAGCGCGGCAGAAGGAAGCCGACTGGGGCGATCGCGGCGGCAGCGGCGTGAACTATACGCGTGGCGCTGCGGTCGCAAACCGCGGGGACGTCGCTTTGTGGGACCGGCCGTTGTGGCTGGTCGAGACGGGGTTGAGACTAGGTTATCGATCAAAAAGCAAAAACAAAAAGCGAAAATTAAAAAAAAAAATAGGCCAACAACGCTGTTTACAAACAACTCACTGCACATGCGCCTTGCAACTCACAGCACCACTGCAGCGGCCGGACACATGGTGTTGGTGTAGGTTTTTCTCTAAACCAGACTTGAACCGTGTGTTAAAAATTTTTTTGTTCCAGAACTTAAGCAGAAAACGAGATTTTCGGTTTAAGAGCAACGTTCATAGCTTACGAGACACATGTTAGTTTTTCTGTTCACACAATGTTGGACGAAGTAAAAAAAAATTTAGAAAAAACTAGCAGCATTCAGCCCTTTAAACCGTAGCCAGAACAATTAGCTGCGGGATCTGATGCCAACCATGCGCAGCCAATGTTCGTCGTGGCCACCTGCTGTGGTAGTAAAACAGGGGGCACGTGCTGAGTTGCAGTCATGGTTAGAGTTTGGCTATTCCTGTCAACGCACTGACTGTATGCGGGGCACTGCCTGGAATGTTTGCCGAGGTACTGATTGTCACAAGATGAAATCTAGTGCTCACAAGGTGCTGGTGTGCGCTGCGCGAGCCGCGTTCGACTATTGTCACTGAGGGGTAATTCCCGTGACTATGTCAACATAGTGATCTCAGTGACTATGTCGCCAAGTTCTGGAGAAAGTGAGGTCCCATTTTGTCCTTGAAATTACGCCGCAACAAAGAGGCTTCTGGGTCAGTTGCATTACCTGCAACGACACTGGGTTCATACTAAAGCCCCTGTATGTATTTGTGTTCGTCTTACAAGGAGTGTCAAATGCGCAGATGCATCAAATTTTGCTCGCGGCACGTGTCTCGCGCGTTCTCGCAACGCTGCTTGTCGCCACTTGTAAACAACACGAAGTGTGGATTTTATCGGGGCTTTAGATCACACTAGTGCCAATAAGCTTGCATAAAGGAAAACACATCCAAAGCAGTATTGCCACCCAGCGCCAACGCATCTAAGACAAAATCTTTATTACGGCAAAATCACATTCTTTTATGTTTATGAAACATTATTATTAAACAAAAAGTAGGTAGCTGCTTCAGGCCTGCAGTGAGACCTTGATCACAGTTATCTAACACTGACACGTGTGAATGTAGACTGTGAACGCAAGAACTTGTTCTTGAATTTGGTTTATAATCTTCCAACACACGCAGCTTGCATTGGATTAGTTACATTCCTCGGTTGTCGTGTGGGCGATTCAGACGACCGTCCAAACTTTGTTCATGTGCGGCTTTATAATTGGATCTCCGTAGTCGGACGGTGAGGGCTCGTTGGCGCAGCACCCTCAATTCGCATATGTTTACACGGCTGCCCATTTTTATCAGGAAGTCGCAGGATTCAAAACGTGCGACCCTGGTATTGTCGAGTGTTCTGGCGTACGAAGAAGATGCTCTTGCTGTGCTGTGCGACATCTGTAGCCTGTACCGCTAAGTGGGGGCTGGAATGCCCGGGAAAGGGCCAAGAAGGACACATATGTCACAAACTAAACTTTCCCTCCATAAAAATAAATACTTTTAGCATAACTTTTACATCATGAGACTAGTTTTCACTGATAGTCACTGTTAAAAAAACCCTAAAAAGAAACAATGTTTTTTTTTTTTTTTTAAACAGTCTGGTTGACACGCGTGTGTTTTTTGCTGGCACGGTCATTTACACATGTGGTTGTCTCTTCCTCGCAGGTGGTCGACATGGCTGCCGTCATTGAGGTTATCGGCATGCTGGAAAGAACTCCCATCACAAAGGACGCCCTGGAGGTGAGTGCTTGTGCGAATAGCAACGGGCCTCGGGAAGGGGAAAGGAATCGAGGAAACCTGAGGCACTTGTGTACAACAAAACTAAATGGCCATAACATTATTTTTTTTTTTTCAATAATATTAGTGCTTGGAATAAACTCTCCACATTCATCCAGCGTGGAACAGGTACTATATTTTGAGGACTACAGTCAGTGGCCCATGCATAGTCTGTAGGAGCAAGTTGCGGCGGAAAGAAAAGTTTTTTCCTTGGTTTGCACTCTACATAGTTTGTACCTGATGCATGGTCTGCAATTAAAAAACTCCTTTTTTTTTTTTTTTTACGCAGCACATCTTAAAAAATGCTTACTTTATTAATGCACAAAGAGGCTTTTATCATCCAGAAATAATGATGAACATATTCTGCCATTTATGAAATTTGTCGCATCTCATCATAATGAACAAACAACTTATAGGGAAAAAAAAAAACACCTTGCAACTTTTAACCACGTATACTCTGGAAATATGGTATTTGGATTTATTGATACATGCTTTGTGTATAGATATACATATACAGTAAGGAGGCTGTAGAACAGCACACATGTGGGCATGAATGGCACAAAGGGAAAGGATAATGGCACCAAGAGATAACATGCAGGGACCAGAAAGGGACAGATTAAGTGCTCCTCTGTCTCTAGGCACCGCTAACCTTTCCATTATTAGGGATAATTTTCTGCTCCTTCGTCCACACGCTGAGCCTCCATTATCGGAAAGGAGGAAGGAAATCTTTGTTTTCGAAAGTAAAAGATGCATGGCTCTTGTTATTTGGCGATGGATAATTGTTTTGTCAGGCTAGGAAAGACTGGTTGTGACGGAATTCACGAGGGAGGGGAGGGTGATCTGACTGCACTGTCGGCTTCCTTCGGCTTTTTCCAGAAGGAAAAGGATCCTAGCGGTGAGATGCCACGCGATGAATTTTGGATACCATTTGGCCATTAAGTTTTGGTTTCCATTGTCCACTTTTACTTTACATTACGTCACCACTAAATACGCTGCTTCCGTTTTCAAGCGTGTGACTTCCCATATATTTGTGACGTTGCAGACGTTGTTTGTCCATACGGAATTGCTGGGGCGAGTTCTCGGCATGTCGAAGTTCGTTCATAGGCAGACGTAGGCGGACAATAGTTCACTTGCCCCACCTCATGGATTTACCTTGGAGCTCAAAGATTAGCAGTCTTGTCCAGTGCTAATGTACCACATTTCAAATTAGGCCACTTGCTAAACTGCAGAGTTTTTATTCTGCCAAGAGGCTGCTTCTTGTTACCTCATGTCGAGCAAAAAACAAGCTTCACGGTTTCACCGAGAAGCTCCGGCATGGTCTCTGTTGCAGCCAATGTCAGAGTCTGCAAAAGCTTCATTTTTAATCAAAATTTGAAAAGGCAATGTTTTTCTTTACATGGGCGTGCAGGTGGTATAGGACTCTAAACACGCCAGTGGGAAATGCATTCCAGCTACTGCACCCTAAACGACAACCACTAGCTAAGCCTCTTACACCCTTCTGTTGCTGCTTTAGGCAAACAACCGCCGGCTAAGTTTGCTAGGCCCTGCCCATAACTCGCTTCTTTGGGTGACAACCGGCGGCTAGGATTCCCCCGTCCTAAGTGCGGGCTGCCGGTTTCAGCGCACACGGCTGGGTCGCTACATCAACGAGCTGCGCAAAAAGACGAGCAACGAGCAGCTGGCCCGACGGGCCAAGGACCTGGTGAAGAGCTGGCGCCGCCTGCTCCCCTGCGGCGCGCCGGCAGAGCGCACCGGCACCCCCAACGGCGCCCCGACGCCCCCGGTCACACTGGGGCCTGGCCCCGGCCCCGGCGTCGGGCCAGGCCCCGGACCCGGCCTGGGACCCGTCGTGGCGTCCAAGCTGCTCAGTCCGGCGCTGCGGCCGGCACGACTCGCCGGCGTCGTGGCGCCACGCAGCATCAGCCCGAGCTGCTCTAGCGTGTCCAACAGCCCGGTGCCCCCTGCGGCGCTGGCGGCGGCTACAGCAGCAGCACCGCCCAGGACGCGCAATGGCGGGTTCAAGCCCGTGAGTCCGGCGTGCCGGTCCGCACCCACGTCGCCAGGCTCGCCTCTGGCGCACCCGTACCCCCGGAGCCCCACCACCGGTCTGGAGCCTGTGGCGAAGAACAACGTGGCCAACAAGAGGCTCAGGAAATCGGCGGATCGAGGTGACTCGTCATGTTTTCCCCTATTCGAATCCCAGTGATGTGATTGTTGCGCCAAGCTGCGCCAAGAGGCGAACCCTGCTACATCCTGCTACATTTTGCCAAAATATGGGTAATCTGCACCAGAGGAGCAATTTCGGTCGTCTTTCAAAACCTAAACTAAACTGAGTACCGTAATTGAGCATGCGTGAGCTAGGCGGCGCAAGCGGCCGCCCGACACAAAGTACCCTGCATCAATGGTTCATCCGGTCTTGCATGGTTTTTCCTGCCATCTCTCGTTTCGCGCTCTCATCGCGCGTCTTTTAAAACTTTTTCAACAATAGACGTGGGCATGTGTGGACGCTCCGACGGTACATAGCGTGCCAGCTACCAGGCCAGCCATGCCACCATGCTGTTAAACGAAACCACGGTTTTTGTGCGGCGGGAGTTACTTTGTGAGCTGAAGCACTCGCTCCTTAAAGCAACGGCCGTGGGAAAATTATATTTGGTCTCTGCCTGCCAGTCACCGTGGTTGTGGGACGTCGAGTGTTGCCGTCTCCACGTCGCTGCAGATATGGCGCTTTCAGAACTGAAATCTAAGGACTGCCGCCTGTTCATCAACATTCCTGTACTTGTTTAAATCATACACTACGGCGAGAATCCCTTTTTAACTCAAAGACTGCTGTGTTGAAATATTGATTACCTAGGTTTCTCTCGGTAGGCTTTTTTTTTCGAGAGGGAGCCCAGTTTGCGAGAAATATTCCGCGAAAGAAAATTGGTGAAGAGTAATGAGCTAAAGCAAAGAAGGCAATGTCTGCACGCGGAATCTGCACACCGCGCTTGCTTGTCTGAAGTTCAGTCGTTGCGCAAAGTGCTCCAAGAACTTTTTGACCCTAGCTTGCGATTTCTTGCATTGATGCGCTCACGTTCCTCTTTTCCGTGTTTAGCCTGTACCTTGCCCTGTCGGCCTTGCAAGCACGTGCCGCTGGACTGTTTTTTTTCCGTATGCTGGACAGTTACATTGTTACATTTCGCATACAATTTTGGGAACCAGTTGGCAACGGAGCGAAGTGGCATGGTTTCAGTTTCGATCAAACACTCATCTCCACTTGCGTGACGAAGCACGAGCAACTGCAAGCCTGCCGAAGTTGCTGTCATGTGCATGCGAACATGATCGCGCGACAGAGGCACCAGCCGGGACGCTTGCAATCTATTGTTTCCTGTTTGCTTACTTTTGACAAAAATCTGGCACCTCGGAAAACAGTAAAACGGTAGAGAGCGGTTTTTCGGAATAGCTCGGCAATGCCTACAGCAGTGCACACTTCTGGGATGTCTCGATGTCTTTTTGGAGACATTGAAAGTAGACATTCATTACTTGTCGAAGGCAAAGTGAGGCTTGCAGCAGCCTTGCAGAAAGTTTCGAAAAGCAAAAAGAAAAGCACCCGCTAGTCTTAATACACCTTTGTCTTGTGTTCGATTTCGCACTGCACTGCAGAAGTTACGTGTTTTGTCAGGCAGAGACTGCTTCCATTTATTATATAACTAGTCAATCTAATGCTGTGATATTCACTACTGAGGTGGTCATTGTGAAATAAATTTTAATATGTGCAGTTTGGTTCTTAATTATCTCTAGCGGGTACAATTTAACTGAATCATTGCAAAATGTGTCATATCATTGGCATTTCAGTTACATGTTGGAAACTCCCAGGTGGTCTAGCTTGACCATAACTTGTTTATTGCGGCGTGCGAAGTGCACTTCGTTTGTCCAGCGCTTGAAACAAGTATTTTTGTTTTTCTAGGAATGTCTGCTCCTAAAGCCACTTTTGTGGCTCCAAGACTTTGGTTGGCTGCTCCAAAGGCCACTTTTGCTGCTCCAAAACACTGTTTTGACTGCTCGAAAAGGTGCTTCAAAACGGCTTAGGCCAATCAGGTCACTAGAATCCCCAGTTCGGTTAGACCAGTGGTCTCAAACCCATTTGAGTGTGGGGGCCAGATTGCCCAAACCAAAAAGGTCAAGGGCCAATGTTAGACGAGGGTGGGGGGGAAACGGGGTTTAAAATATATCAAGGAGGGAAGACCTCATGCTCTATGCTGTTTGATAAACTCACAGATTTTTCGAGTGACATTATTAGGTTTGATTTGTTAATATGACTACTGTGGGTCCTGATCCGATGTGATACCAAGAATTAAAATAACACCGTCCCTCCAACGTGCTGGCACTTTAATACAACAAGAGAGCAAGTGCACTGCCGTTCCTGCTGCTCAATTCACCCAGGAATTAACCGAGTTCAACATCTCTCTAAAAGACAATCAGTTAATTGTATACAGCTCTTACTTTGCTGACGATTTTTATTACAACACTCTGAACAAATACTTGTTTTTTAAACGTGTTTCTTCTTTTTTTTTTTTTTTATGGCAAGAATTTTTATGTTGTAGCTTTATCTTTGGCAGTTTCTCTTGCTGAACGAGAGTTCGCGGAGCCGAGGTGCATCCATAGAGATCAGAGGATGCATAATTCAAAGAAGTGCTCGCGCTTGCAGTCCAGTAGCGGAATTGTACATTACAAGAAGTTTGGAAGCAAAAAATAAATCGAAACAAGTGGAAATTGAACAAAGATAAATATAAACTATCTGATATGTTAAAAGAGCAGAGCTACTTTTCGAGCGAAACCGAACTGGCGAGATGAGCTTCCTATGGCGGATATTATTTCTAGCGCTCGACACATTGGAACCGGGACTCATAGCCGGTTGCCTGAGAGCCGCGTCCCAGCGAGTCGCAGGCCGAATGCGGCCTGCGGGCCGCGTGTTTGAGACCCCTGGGTTAGACACTATGGAACATAATACTCCGGGTGCATCCCCACTAATCTGTTCTAAGCAATCCGATTGAAGCCGTCCAAAATTGCGCGGCTCGCTTCTATCTTTCCATTTCTTCCTGTTTCTCTATTGGCACCACAATGAAGCCTCAATTACCTCGTCTGGCATATCTCTGCGTCTGGTATTTTGTGCTACGTTGCCCGGGGTGGCATAGCTTCCTTAGCACGCGAGCGTCGTCGGAGATATGTGCACGAGCACATTGCTTTCCTTGGCGCGTAGCTCGCACTAAGACATGTGTAAGTGGAACTCGAGAGGAAGCCACGTGCTCTCGCAGCAGTGCTGTGCCGTGGCAACAAGGAAGCTGGCCATGACGACTTAATACAGAATTTCTGATGCCGAGTAAAAGGTGCCGAATCAATACCAACCGGAAGACGAGGCCTGCGTCATCCTTCCTCATACATCCCTGCTGTGGAGCCACAACGTTAGCCAGCCTAGCTCACGTTGCCGCGAGCACATCTTGTGGCGTCCCACAACGAGCACGATGCTAGCAGACGACGTCACAAAGACGAGTTGCGTGACCCCTCAGGGGTCGCACAACTCGTCTCTGGAGGCTGGTCGCCACCGGAGCTGCGGAAGGTGGGTTATTACAAAGTGCCATTATGGCAGTGCCGGCCGTGTACCCACTTTTGATTTTGCTTTCCCATTTCGTGATCGTTGCACGTTCCCTCTGCGCTTGTAGCGACTTGTTACAGGATCGTCTGCACCGTCGACAGACGCACCTTCGAGAGGTCGGGGCACATCTTTTTTGTCGGCAAACAGAGATTTTGCGTCTGCCTCCCCATTGGGTGGAGGCAGTCATGTGGAACGGATGCTGAGGCCACCTCCTTATTCAAATGGACTTTGTAGGAAAGGAAGAGTGTAATATTTAAGCTACCTTTAAATTTTTTCTTTCTTTGGACTCTCGCGAGTTTTGGAAGGTTTTGAGGGAGGGGGGATGAGTAGAACGACAGAAAAATGCCTCCAGTCTTTTTTTTTTTCTTTGCTGCAGCACCATTTTCAGTGTTTGTTTTTTTCTTTTCCCCTCCCGGGATCTCTAACAGGGCAAACTCCCGCAAGACGCGGGGTCGCGGCGTTCTGTTCTATGCGCATCATACACGCTGCAAATATCAATTGTGTTTAGACATTATCTACGCAGGACGAAGCTTGTCAAAGGAGGAAAAAGTCCTGGACTGACCACTTTGTTGTTTGTGGTAGAGCAATACTTTTTCTTTCCTCATTCTTTTAGTTGCCATTATGTTTGGTGTACGTTCCCGGAATCTGTGACGACGCGGCGCGTGAGGTAGTCTCGGAAGGCAGTCCAAAGTTTTCATAGGGAAATTAGTGTGTGCACGTGTCATGTTAGTGTTTGCTTTTAAGAGCTTGGTAACAGTGGCAAGATGCAAGGTCTTAATACAAAAGGACAAACCGAAAACGGGGTCTCGAGTGAATCCACGGTGTAAGACACCGATTGATTTGGTGGCTACGTCTGGGGAAAACTTTTAGAGGCGATGAAGCAAACTTTTCAGGTGTAATACTCTAGGGTGCTATATGCGGGGCCGGATACGTTGTGGATAGGCCATAGACTTTCTGGTTTTATCCGAGAAGTGCCAATATACACCAATAAACGTCCCTTGTCGTCAAAACTATGGAATCCGATAAAATTTAAAAGCACCGATATCTCGAAATTGTTGCACTAGCTAGGACCTTTTTTTTTTTGTCAAAAGTGCCCCTTTTGGACTAGAATTCCTAATTTTTTTTAGACATGAGATTTTTTTTCCTTTCTGTAACTTGTTTTTTGTGTACAGTAAAACCTTGTTATAACAAAGTTGAAGGAGCGGTCGTAATTATTTCGTTATAACCATTAGTTTGTTATAGCCAATGTCCATTTCTTCCCACTATTAGCAAGCAAGGGGAATTATGATTGCTTTGTTATATCCATTAGTTTGTTATACCCCGTTTTGTTATAACGAGGTTTTACTGTATATCTGAAGCAGATCACTGAAATGCACCAATATTTAAAAAATAAACTGAAAATATTCGTAAATTTTTCTTGTAAATATACACCAGAAACAATGGCCTAGTTATGAATGAATGGTTACTGGTTTGCTGAGTTTTTACTTCACAGCCGGGCAGCTTATAGTCTTTTGCATGTTAAGAATAGCAGGACCCACA